GGGATTGAACTCGTGCTGCAGTGGCTTTGTAGAGCTTCATAATGCGGTGCTTTAACCCGTTGCACCACAAGGGTCATTGTTCAGTTTTTTACAATATTTTATTTCTACCCTCAGGGGCAGACCCCATAAACTCCTATTACCACATCACCCATGATCCATCACCCTAGTCCCTTTCTCCTCTTCCTTCAAGGGGTACATTTAGAAATACACATTGGCCATAAGAAAAAAAAAATTGTGTTTGTAAAAAAAAAATTATATATATATTTATTTATTTTTTACCTCATTCTTCATTTTGTACAAGGAAGATATAGTTTATATATACCATGGGGTACTAATCAGGGATCAAAAAGACAAACTCATGCCATTGTGGCATTATGGATGGAGCTAGAAAGGACTGTGCTAAGTGAAACCGTTAAGAAAGAAACATATATATCTTTGATTGTTTCACTTACATGTAGAACATAGAGAAACCAAAGGGCCAGGAAAAAATACAAAACGTGCAAGCTGACCAGAGAGAGATCTGAGCATCCAGCAGGGGAGGGGGGAGGGGCGGAGTCACAACAAGGGAGGAACACCAGGGACTGTGGTGATGGAGCAGGGGTGCTGTGGTGGCGGGACAATTATGGGCACAATATCTGAGGGGGGGAATCAAATACTGTCCCTAAATTAAAAGCCACGGAAGAAAATAAATACAATAAACAAATAGATAAACAAGCAAATAAGTAAGTGAACTGCCAAGGCACATCCTGGCTCATGCCTGCTTTGCAGCCTCCACACTCCACCTACACAGGACGCTTCTCTCACTAGCCACCCCAATGTCCATGAGCGCCTGACTTGGCATTCCCGAGGTACTGAGCCGGGCTGGAAGCGTATCATTATGTACTTTCTTCTGTAGTTAATTTTATGTCTGTGTGTCTTGTTCCCCTGGAGAAAGTGCAAGCCTCTCTCAGGGGCAGGTTTGTGCCTCCTTCTATATCTTTCACAGAACTGAGCAAAACAAGGCTTGCCGTTTAAGACAGCAGCATGTGCCGCAACAGGGGTTGCTTCTCTGCTTCAGTCAAGAGAAAATGCTTTTGCTACTTACCTGAGCTCCATAGGATCAAACACAAGTTTGACATCATTAATTATGCTAGGAAGGTACTTCAGAGCTGCTCCCTATTTAAAAAAAAAAAAAAAAAAAAGACACGAAAGGCACATTCAGTTACCAAGCAGGACAAATACAGAATTTTTTACTTGACCCCTGGGAGAGGTGGCTGTGCCTGAATCTTCACCTGAGAGCCAGACACATATGTTCTTACAATAGGAGGGAAACCGAGGCTGCCCACAAGCCCCTAAATCTTTCTCCTGAAGAGGCAGGCACACTTTCAGCTTTTTCTCTTAACTGCTAACAGGCACCACCCAGTAGGAATTTATTTTCTGTCTAAGGAGGTGTTTAAAATCTCAATGTCTCCCTCACAACATCATCATTAAAAGTAAAGTGCAATAAAATTCTTGGACAAATCTTCAGAGATTATGTATTTCATATTAAAAAATTGATAATCATGAAGATGGTGATGTCAGCTAGCTGGCAGGGTGGGACAATGAAGAATAAAAACCTGCTGCCTGTAACATCACCACAGCCAATGGCCAGGAAGCCCACGGTGTCCACCGGGGTAGCCGGCCTTTAGCAAACTCACATTTGAAAGTACAAAATACACACAAAAGGTAAAACCTGGGGTTTGCCTTTTATTTCTCAAGAGTCACCCTAAAACTCACAAAGTTTCCATGCTTTATAGTTCATTTTATTTCCTTCCCACCACGGCCGTCTAAGCTGTTCCGGAACTTCCTCTTCAACAGCATTAAAAATATCACACACGATGACCCTGCACTGACCTTTATCTTGACAGCTTCCTCCAGAGGCCTGTCCATGAGCGTATTGAAAGCAAGGAATAGCTGGCGGATGGAATTGTTAAACTCATCTCCATTTTCGCTCTGTCCATAAAATCTTAACAGGGAAGAGAGAAAAGCAGTCAGATTTTCTGTCTTTAATGAAATTTCCAGAGCAGGTTGCCATCTGTCTGTGCAGAGAGTGGCACCTCACGGTTTCCAGGCTGCGTGAAGAAAAGGCCCAGGGCACTGGACGGGGGTGTCAGGCAGAAGCCCCACGGGTGGGAAGTTACCGTTACTGGGGTCAAAGCAGGAAAATGATCGTGTGTAAAACCTAACACAGAGCTGCTGCTTGGTGAGTGGGCATTTCTGGCATGGAGGGGAGAAAGGCAGGAAGCTGGTCTGCCTGGAGTACCAGATGAGCCCCATTTTCCTGTCTTCCTCAGCACAACAACACAATGTGCAGGAAGCAGGGACCCCCTCTGCTTCCCTGATGACTGCACTTGCCACACTGCAGCCAAAACAAAGACAAAACCCCTTCGGGGGAAAAAGTTATAGGAGCTGCAGACTGAATGAAAGGGGGGTCAGAAAACTCTAAGCTTTGTTTAGAGCAATAATGGGGCAGTACAAGCCACAAGAGGGAGCAGGGCCCCCACGCAGCTACTGGCTTGTGCACACCGGACAGCAGGGCTCTAACGCCCAGCCAGCACTGCACTGGATAAGCAGGTGCTTGGGCAGACCCCCAGGCTGGGTGCGTTGCAGGTGCACCGTGGAAGCGCTGCAGAGGTGAAAGCACAGAGCTAGGGCCGCTGGCTTGAATCTGAGGTTTACACCACAGAACGCTGTGGCCTGAGCCAGGTCAGAGCACCTGAACTTCCTTGCAGAGGAGACTGCTGCTGAGCCCAGGCTGAACTTCTAAACACTTGTTCCAACCCGCAACCCCCAAAGAAAATCTTTACAACAGGAACCTGATAGTCTTGATTCTAGGAGCTGATCCTTTTATGCCAATTGCCTGGTCCTCTTTTAGACCTCCTATCTTTGGTTTTCTTTTTGTTTTTTTTTGGTTTGTTTGTTTAAGATTTATTTATGCATACAGAATGGGAGGCTACAGGCCAGAGGTGTAGGGGCAGTGAGAGGATTCGCCAGAGACAGAGTGGGGAGCAGAACAGGCAGATCAATGAAGTACACTGCCGAGGGGAGCAGCAGGCGGGACAGGAGAGGTCTGCTGTGCCATGTGGGTCGTCTCCAGGCCGGGGTTTGAGCTCCTGCCGAAGTGGCTGTGGCTAGCTTCTTAGTGCTGTGCTTTAACCCATTGTGCCACCAGGGAGGTTCCATAAACCTACTACTTTTTAATGGTACCAATTCCCAATTACTCCGAGAAGAGCAAAACCAACATTTGAACATTTATACTTACTAAAATCTATACAAAATGAAAAGAACACAACACAAATGACAGAATATAAAAGGCCGACAAAGGCCATTACTGGACAGCACTGCGGAGCCTGAAGAAGAGACCTCAGGTTACAGTCCTGGCAGTGCTGATGGAACTTGAAAGAATAATGAATATAAAGCACTGATAGAATAAAGACAATAAACATACAAAACTGCTACAATCAGAAATAATGGAGCTAAGCAATACCATAGCTGACCTAAAAATACAATCGAGGGTCTTAATAGTAGGGAAACTGAAGCAATGGAGAAAATGAATGAATGCTGGAGAACAAACAATGTAAAATAAAATAAAATGGAACAAGATAAGAGAAAAAAAGTTACAGAACGAAAACAGTCAAAGAGCCCTCTGGGGCAACTTTAAAAAGAAATAATATCCATAACATGGGCATCCAAAAGGCAAAGAAGAGGAGAATGGAATAGAAAACCTATTTAAAGAAATAATCACTGAAAATAATCTCACTCTGGGAAACCAACCAGAATTTGTGATCCAAGAGGACCAAAGAGTTCCAAACAAAATAATACCAGATAGACCTACACCAGGACACCTAATAATAAAGTTGTTAAGAACCAACAATCAGGATAGAATACTAAAAATATCAAAAGAAAACAATGTAATAACGTACTAGGGATTGCCAACCAGACTATCAGCAGATTTTTCAACAGAAATGTAATTTTTTAAAGATTTATTTTTACTTATTTATGCATAGAAGAACTGGAGTGTAGGTCAGAGGTGGAAGGGGTGAGAGGATTCACCAGAGACAGAGTGGGGAGCAGAATAGGCAGATCTACTGAAATACACTGCTGAGGGGAGCAGCAGGCGGGTCAGGAGAGGTCTGCCCGCGCCCTGGCTGGGGATTGAACTCATGCTGCAGGGGCTGGTGATAGCTTCACTTCGCTGAGACTCTAACCCCTCTGCCACTAATGGGGCCATCCTGAAATGCATTTTTCAAGCATGAAGGGACTGGAAAGAGATATTCCCAGTGTGTCAGTGATCAGAGAGGCCTCCTGTAACTAGTTCAGCTCAAGTAGGATGCCTGTGACCATCATATCACACCTTCCCTGGCAGGCTTCATTCATCTGAACTGGTCAGAGGGGTTTCTTCCATTACTATCTGCCTGGATAATCTCTCTGTAACCCACAAGCCCCATCACAGCAGGAACCTTGTCTCATTTGCTGCTAGGTAACCAGTGGCCAGAGCAATAATAGCTGGTATCCTAAGTGTGTGGCTTAAAAAATAGATTAATGTGGCCCTCCCTGGTGGCGCAGCAGGTTAAAGCACTGCACTAAGAAGCTAAAGCCACTTCCTCATGAGTTCAATTCCCGCCTGCCCCGGAGGTGACCACATGGCGTGGCAGACCTCTCCTGACCCGCCCGCTGCTCCCCTCAGCAGTGCAGTGTTCTTCGTCGATCTGCCTGTTCTGCTCCCCACTCTGTCCCTGGTGAATCCTCTCACCCTCCGCATCTCTGGCCTGTACCCCAGTTCTGTATGAATAAATAAATCTTTAAAAAAAAATAGATTAATGTGATGAGACTGAGGATTTAGTCAAGTTTCTTAATGTCTTATGGAGCACAGTTCACAATTTAAATGCTCCCCTGATGGCAACCCTGAGGTCAAGCTCAGCCAGTAAGGAGCTCAGGAGGGGAATTTAGATCCCCATCCCATGGCCATGGTGGGGTGCAGACCAGGTAACATTTCATCTGTGTTCCCTACAGAGCCAGAAAACTGCTGTGTCCATCAGAGCTAAGCAATGGGAGAAGACAGATCACAGGAGCTGTTCCCAGTACCTGCTTTTCTTTTTCTTTTTAAAAAATAATATAATAGTTTATTTTTACATTATTTTGTGCCTTTTACCTGCTTTTCTTTAATGAGATATATGGTGTGTGTGGGGTATGGGGGTGCTGCAGAGGAAATAACAAATGATATTTTCTTGTATTTTTCTTCTTTTTGTTTACAGTGCCAAATTCCTGTCCTTAAGGATTTATATAGCTATTAGTATTACTACACAGGATCAATTTTTTTTTCAAAGCTCATTTGTAAATGAATACTTTCTTACACCATTATTAATTTTGGGACAGTATTGAGTTCTCTCCTCAGGTATAGTGCCTGTGGTTCTCCCATCACCACAACGTTTGTCCAGTCTCATCCAAGGACAAACATTCTCCAATGCAGTCAGCCCTCTGTATCTGCTTCTGCAATTTAAACCACCAAAGACTGAAACTCTGTACCAGGTAGTTATGTCTACCATGGGGCTGTGTCTGTACAGAACACAGAGAAATTGTTCTAACCACTAATCCTTAAGAAATACAATAACCATTTACATATTATTTATTTACATTGCGTTAGCTGCTATGAGAAAGGACTCAAAGTGTATAGGAAGATGTTTATAGGTTATATGCAAATACTACATTTTTTTCTTTAAAGATTTATTTATTTATGCATACAGAACTGGGATGTAGGCGATAGGTGTAGGGGTAGTGAGTGAGAGGCTTCACCAGAGACAGAGTGAAAAGCAGAACAGGAAGATCAATGGAATACACTGCTGAGGGGAGCAGCAGATGGGTCAGGAGAGGTCTGCTGCGCCATGTGGTCACTTCTGTGGCTGGGGATTGAACTCGAACTGAAGAGGCTGTGGCTCGCTTGCAGTGCTGCACTTTAACCCACTGGGCCACCAGGGAGGATCCACAAATACTACATTTTATATAAGGAATTTGAGCACCAGGTTTTTGGTATGCACAGACATCCTGGAAGCAAACCCTAGAACATACCAAAGGGCCACCACATACGTAGAGACAGTATGTGTGTATGCATTTTTATAGTGAGTGTAAGTATTTCTTTTAAGAAATTTTAAATTTTAATTTAACTGACTGTATATATTTTTCTTTTGCAAATTATGGTTTTGCTTTTTATTATAGAAGGATATTTATTATTCTTTTGTTGATATATGAGTCTTTAATCAGTAAAGTTACATTTTGATTTCACCATGCTGTTTTGCAGGTTAATTGCTTACCTTTCATTTGTTTATGGTTTCTAAAATATACAAAGTGTTAAAAAATGTATTACCTTCTGACTGAAATGTTTATTTGAACATCCTGAAGGGTCAGGATGGCACTGAGGTTATGGATATTTTTACCTATTTCTTGGCTCCTTTTTTTCTTTTAATGAGCTGTTGGTTTTGGAATGCAAGCTAGGAATTATTTTATCTTGATGGTTTAGTTTCAACAAAGGTAGCTAAACATGGTTTCAACAAAGAAACACATAAGGCAGGTATTGTTTCCCCAAAAACATCTGTCTCCGTCCTCTCTATCACCAACAGTGGCTCGTGATCCTATATTTATGCATCTAACATTGCCATGAAGCCCCTTACTGTATCAAATACAATCCTGCCACAGGGACCTGCCTCCCTAGTGCTTTGTCACCAACAAAGGCTTCCAAGAAGCTACACATTTTAATCACCTGGATCCCTAAGTCTTGCTGCTATTATTGCTCTGAAAATTCCATTGATCTGAAAGGACTTCACATGGACGGTTTCCAAAAGTTTCCTAGTTTTCCATCTTCAATTCTGAAATTCAGCAACTCCATGCATAACCCAACTGCTCACAAGTTGAACATAAACATTAAAGAAAACTTCGAAAGAAATGAAGTAAGAGAAGAAGCATCTTACTGCTGTTATCCTTACCTTAGGTAGAGTACTCTAGACTGGATGATAAATCTAAATAAGTACTTTAAGGCTTTCAAAGCAGCAAAAAGCATTTCCGTCTTTTCAGTGTCATCTGCACTTGCCACATATAAGTTCAGTACCTTGGAGAGCTTCCTAAAGAGAGAGAGAGAGAGAAAAAAATGTCAATGGAGCAAAGTGCACTCTGAGGTTTGGGGTTTTATGGGAAGGGAACTTGGCTGATAGTGAGCAGATCACAACTACCATAAGATCTTCTAGAGTATACCTGAATGAGGAAATTAAGTACTTCAAACTTTAGTTTCCTCAGTGCAGTCTAGGTTTGGAGCTAATCTTTCATTTGGAAGATGGTTTCCCTTACTAGAATTTTTAAAAAAGGATCAAGAAATTAAAGAGTTCAAGGATCCAAAGTGCAAGGATTTTCATCTCTGGTATGTATGTATATCAGCTGTGCCTGTAAGGGAGGAACTATCTGCCTAACTAGCCACCTAACAGAATCCTAATGCCCTGCAATCTGGCCAAACCCTTTGGGGTCCTTAAAGAAGGGGCCAGATGAAAACCACACTGAATGTCACTTGCTCTGACTCTGGATCCACCTGACTAGCACATTCATGGTTCTGGGCATCTCAGCAGATGAAAGGACTCTGGGACTTTAATCTTCCACTAGGCATTGTCTTATTCTCATGCTAACTTGCACTGTGGCGGGAAACTGAGTTTGCCTAGTATTAAGAACATTCCACAAGAAACATGTAAAGCTGACCAGGTCCCAATCACTAACACCTGAGTGCTGTATTTGGTTCTGAGTAATGAAGATCCACTGACAAGATTCCTCACTGCACCTCACCACTACTCAGAGAGTCAGGTTATTGGTGAAAGAAGCTATTGCTGGTATGTCTACTGCTTCTGCTAATGTCTAGAGGGCATCTTACACATTGTGCTATTTTGCTGGTGATTATGCTACACCAACTTTTATGCTACACCTCTTCATGTTGTTGTTTTTTACCTTTCTAGATCTCCTTTGAAATAATATTAAGAATATCCTTGTTTGGTTGAGAAAAAGGACACAGGGGTCAATGGTCTGACTTGACAGGTCAGGTTAGCAGCTACCCTGATGGACCAGCCGACAGCCACTGGGATAATCTGATGTAACCTATATTCAAAAAGATCACGCCAATCTCTACATTCCTGTCACTCTTTATCACATTGCTCTGAAAAGCCTTGGACTGCAAGGGGGTGGTGCAGGCACACACAGGGTTGTGGTGAGCAGAGTGTGCAAGGGCAAGAACAGCAGAAGCACAAGGTGCTCCCTCTGAGTGGGACTCATAAACCAACGGAGAGAGGGTCTCCACAGGAAAGGTAGAGACCACTCCTTTCTAGAAAAAACTCAATTATCTCACCTCCTCTGAATTAGCACACTACAAAGCACTGGAGATACAGGGGCGAGAACAAGACCTGCAGTCCTCTCAGCCCTGATCTTGCTGAGTCTCCTGTGGCTTCATGCTAACCCTGTGGACATCCAGAACCTGAGGACAGGCCTTTGTCCTGCACCTTGCTTCTAACCAATGCCAACACTGTTCTTATTTCTTCTGTAGCTTCTTGAAGGCACTCAACACCTTTTCCAGGGACCGAATGTTTAGGTGGTTCCCTCCTTCAATCAGCAAGCTAAGAGCACGGCTCTGCACTTCAAGGCACATTTACTAGGTCTGCGTCCCTCTCCTGTGTCAATGCTCGGCCTGAGGAGTCTGCACCCAATAATGCAGCCCAGGCAGATCCCTGTGTCATTACTTACACATATGCCAAAGTGGCACTGAAGTGCTTGTGAATGTAGGTTTCAAGGACAGGATTAAAATGCTGGAACTTGATGTCTCCGATCAGTGAAATAATAAATACCTGCGCCAGAGATGAAAAATGTAAATAACAACAATGTACATTCCCCATGGATTCTGCGAATAGGAAGGGGTGTGCCCTCTCTTCTTTCTTCCTCAATGTTGGAGCATTTGCTCTTCTCTGTTCAGACCTAATGTAAAAGTCTCAGGTGTTTATTTTTAATATAACACAAATAGAAAGTCAGCTATGTTGGGCACTGTGCTACATCCTGTGAAGAAACCAACAGGAGAAAACACCCCTAGCCTTAGTTTCCCTGGCCTTAGCCTGCTGATTATCTCAGAGAGAGCAGTCACAGCAGGAAAGCTTGGGGTGAACGTGGAACAGGAGGAAGGAGGATGGGAAAGGGGCTTTTGGGGGGAATGACACTGTCCCTGCAGCATACAGCTCAGGAGTATCCCATGACACTGCGGGGACACTGTGAGTTCCTCCAATAACTGAACCCCACCAGACTTCTGCCCCCCAATTTCCTCATGTGTTGACTCCTCTCACCACCAGGGAGCGTCTACAAGAGCCACTTGTAACAGTAGAGTCCAAAGAAGGAGCGCCTGAGACTCCCACATATGCCCACCATGCACTCTGTTCCACAGGAATCTTTCTCCTGTTCTCTTTCATCTCAGGGAGCCCAGAACCTAGAGGCTTCCCCATAAACCTGACCAGCATAATCTCGGCTGGGGGCACCGCCCCCCAGCTTAGTCTTTACTCTCCAGCCAGTTCTTGAAGAATTAAGAGTTCCTCCAAACCACTGAGGGGCCTAACGTAGCAATTTACTGCCTCCCTTGGTTACCACATTCACCTAAAATTCAGCTTTGTACATGGACCCCGCAAATGAGAAAACGATGCTTTGCTTTGATATGACAGTCTTCTCCACTGCCCCAATGCTGGCCTTCCCAAATGATGACGTCATCTATCCCTGTCTGGTTTTCAGCTCTTGGAACAGATTGCGTGTTTATGTAGTTCATGGGACAAATTTAATTGTCCGTTGGGTTGTATGTTGAAAATCATGAAACAGTGGTCCATCAGTGATTTGTGAACTCAGTTTCCCTTTCAGGAAACACAGCAAGCCACATTCTTCTGCTTTTTTAAAATGACAGGGCAATTTAAAGAGACTTAATGTGGTTGGTGATTTCTAATATAACACACATTTTTTTTCCATAATGAGAAAGAATGTCAACATTGAGGTATAACAGAAATCAAAGAAATAGACTGGCAATGTAAGCCAATTGTTTCAAATTTTCCTTCTAGGACTTTAGCTTGAAGGCATAATCAAAGAGATACAAATATTTGTGAAGGAGGATATTTGTCACAATACTTAATAGTGTAATATCAAAGCTATACTCTTATAGAATAAACATTTTAAATAAGTATAAAGGCTTACCAGTGCATCAAACACAAGGATGTCATAAGTGTCATTGTCAGACATTTCCATCATTATGTTAAAAAGTGCATCTAGTGTATCTTGCAAAAACTGAAGATAAGAAAAACAGAGAGGTTATTTGATGCTGTCAGTTCAACTCCAACTGCAGAAATTTGGGGAAAAGTAGGTTTCAACAAAGTAGGTTCAAAAATAGCATGCTTTTTAAAATTGCATACTTGCTTCCTCTTGCAGATAAATTTTCTATTTGCAACATCAGTTCAATTAAAAATGTCCAACTAATGATACAATGGGTGAAGTTATTACTATGAATATAAACATACCTTCACAATTTCTCCTCCATCCACCTCCATTAACTTCTTTAAGTTGTGCTTAATATTCTGAGAGTTGGAACGCCAGTTTAACAAGCCCAACAGGTCAACTAGAAGATCGATCACAAACCATAAGTATGAGACACTGATCAGGAGGGGTTGGCCACACCATTTCAATTTCAAGACGCGTTCTAGGGGCTTCCCTAGGGGGTAAGTCTCTGTGCTATCACCGGGACAGCCAATTTGGGTCCCAAGCCAGGGAGGTAGCCCATATATTTTTTTTTATAAGATTTATTTATTTGTACATACAGAACTGGGGTACAGGCCAGAGGTTCAGGGGCGGTGAGAGGCTTCACCAGAGACAGAGTGGGGTGCAGAACAGGCAGATTGATGAAGTACACTGCTGAGGGGAGCAGCGGGCGGGTCAGGAGAGGTCTGCCACGCCATGTGGTCACCTCCAGGGCAGGCGGGAATCGAACTCATGTTCAAGTGGCTTTAGCTTCTCAGTGCTGTGCTTTAACCCGCTGCGCCACCAGGGAGGGCCAGTAGCCCATATTTTGTAGCAGACCTCTCCTGTCTCGTCCACTGCTTTCTTTAGCAGTGGAGTTCAGTACATTTGCTCATTCTGTTCCCCACGCTGTCTCTGGTGAATCTTCTCAATCCTGCACCTCTGGCCAACACCCCAATTCTTCTATTCAAATGAAAATATCTTTTAAAAACAAACATACAAAAAGACAACAAAAAACCCCACAGTGCTGGGGGAAAAAATTTTTAGAAAAAAATCACCACTCTGAAGGGTGGCTAATGTGTGTATTCTTTTAATTTGCTGTCTCCTGTCTAAATCAGAGAAAAACCCTGTGGTCATCTTCAATATGCAAAGAGAAAAAAGCTTACCATTAATGCCAAGAACATAGAAAGATATCTGAGCAGACCTCATATTTTTCAGATAATAACATTACAACAGACTAGCCCAAAAAGCCTTTTAATAGTCAATTGTCTAACTTTAGTTTGCTGTATGGTTTCATTTTGTTCCTTATCACCACACGTCTTGGTGAATTCAAAGGGAATTGGGAACTTACATATTATTTAAACATCACATTCATACATATTTCTGAGATGCAGAAACTGAGATTTTGCACAACAGAATTATTTCCCTTAGGTGACACAACCCCCAGAAACTAGGATGAAAACAATTTAATTATATTTATCTGATTTAAAAAAAAACAAAAAAACAACAAATCCTTGATATTGATATTCTCTCAGATTCTCCCCATCATAACCCTTGTTCCAAAGTTCTTATAAAAAGTGAAAAGAGAAGCAAATCAGATAGGATGCTCTTTCAAAGTTAGGCAGAACAGATTTGTATCCCTTAGAGTAGGTCTAGGAGAAAAATCTGGATGTGCTTGCTGATTAAAAAGGCAGAATTTGGGCCCTCCCTGGCAGCGCAGTGGGTTAAAGCACAGCACTAAGAAGCTAAAGCCACTTCCGCATGAGTTCGATCCTCACCTCAAAGGTAACCACATGGCATGGCAGACCTCTCCTGACCCGCCCGCTGCTCTCCTCAGCAGGGTACTTTGACCATCTGCCTGTTCTGCTCCCCACTCTGCCTCTGGTGAATCCTCTCACCCACCACACCTCTGGCCTGTACCCAGTTCTGTAAACATAAATAAATCTTTAAAAAGAAATAAAGAATTTACAAAAAAAAAACAAAAGAGCAGAATTTTGGATCTTTAAGTCACTGACAGCTTTAGTGAAAACTGAGCTGCTAAGAGAGTCAGGGAAACAGCAGGCGTCTGCCTGCTGCTCTTTTATCATGCTGTTTTGTATATCAAGCTACTGCTTCTCACAGAACACTACCCAAGGAAAGGAGCAACAGACATTTTTTGATCAATGCATTTGTGTGTATATATATGATTGCAAATGAATATGACTCATTAGTGCAGTAAATTTCCCCAGAGGTTTGCTTTATTGGCTTGCATATTGTCTAGTTCTTCAGAAGTCACCAAACCCAGTGCCTAAGACTCTCATCAATAGAATAAAGTCCCAGCACCACTCAAAGAGCAGGGAGGCCTTACCTATACCCTTCCTGCAAGCCCCCAAACCCACTGTTCTCTTTTACTCTTCAGTGGCCATACTTGGAAATAATTCTGTGTCTTTGCATAGAGTCTCCCCTTTATCTGAATTGCCCAGAATTATATAACTCTATGCATTTATTTGTAAGCTCATACTTATACTTCAAGACCCATCTCAAACTGTATTCCTTCTGGAATCATAAAGGTATACTTGGCATACTCTTTCATATAAGTATACTCTTTCATCCTTCCTACAGCTTTGAATCCCCTGGGGACAGGAAGCACACTTCATTCATTCTGACACCCCAGCATAGTGCTAGGCCACTAATAGGTGCTCTGTGTCAGTTTGATGAGAGAATGGATGTATGAATAGATGGATGGAAGGAACCAGGCACAGTGAAGACACTGTGCTTGATAGAATTCTTCGACTCATTCATTCATTCAGTATGTAACAGGCACTGTGCTAGGCTTAGCCACTAGACAGCTTCCATCTTCCATCTCCTATTTCTGCCACAGGCTACTCAATGGTTCCAATCCATTCTTTTACTTCACAACACTTGTTGCTGCCAAGAGAAAAGGATGTAGGCACTTACTGGGGTGATTGGTGACCTGGGAAGTCTGCTGTCAAGTGCCTGCAAAGAATTCACTCACCAGCCCAGTGATTTGCTGCCTAGGGATGTTTGCATGCCACATGGCTCAGATCAGGAATATACTGGACGGATCAGGTCTTGGGCTAGTGAGGTGGTGGCACAACCGTACAGCCAGAACTTACTGTGCCTGTGTTCATGCAGGCTGCTGCATATGGCTCTATTTATTCTCGCTGTTGAATAGCATCTATCCCATTGCATGGCGTGCACTGCACTAAATGGAATTTACTCATTCCATTGTTGATAAACATTTGGGATTCTAGTTTTTGTGCTGTCACAAACAATTCTGCCAAAACATTCTCCCATGTCCATGGTACCCAGGTTTACCAGCTCTCTGGGGTACAGAACTGGTTCATCAGGCAGGACCATCATCAAGCACTGTGGACAGTATCCAAATGTTATCCCAAGTAGTCCTAATTGACTTTCCCATCTGAAGTATGTAAGAATCCAGATACTGTGAATACCAACACCCAAGTTAGGTTAGAGAATTTGGAAGAGGATCAAGCATCGTGAAATTTAAAATAAAGAAAGACTTCAAGGGATAGCATATGTTTTGTAGTGATAAATGTCTAGGTTCAGACCCAATCAACCACTTAATGAGCTTACGCAAAATATGAGCACTTTAACTCAATTTTCAATAAAGTGAAGCTAATAATGGCCAAGTTGGAGGCTTCCTGTGGCCAGTGTTGGGGAGTTAAACAAGATGCTGACTGTTAACAGCCTCCCCTTCTCTCTCTCCCCCCATAGGGGCCCCACTCCTGAGGGACCGGAATTGCTCTCTCCTTGTCTGGAACAACAAATCTATTCTCAGTGCTCACATGGGCCAGCAGCAAATGATCCCATCAAATCAGTCTGTTCTCATTTTGAAAAAAAAATAATAAAGTGGACCAAAGGTCAATGGCTTTTAACCTTTTAAGTCTGAATAGCCCTCCTAAGGCTAAGGGGAACGCCTTTGTCATGGACGCTGTTTGAGAGGCGCACAGCCACTCTCTGGATCAGAAAACACCCTGATACACTTGGTGATTTATTCATGTTCCTCAGCTTCTTCCTCCTCAGAATAAATTAAGTTGGCTTTTATAACTTGCGGCAGCGAAGACGAGCACAAACACATGAACTGTGTCTGGGAGGCCCCATTTCCTACCATGCGCACGATGTCTTTCTTGTCCTCCCCATCTTTCCGCCTTGATTTACTCCTACTAATTTAAATTTCACAAGTTACCAGAGGCTGTGGCTGCCACAGAGAGACAGCACAGGCGTAGAACATCCCGAAGATGGGTGACATATGTTACAGCAGATCAAGTGTCTTGCTACTGTCAATAAGCTTAGGAAGTTTTTTTTTAAAAGTAATTTTGTTCCTGTAGCAACACTGGCTCACACTGCTGTTAGTATTTTGGAAGTAGAGGGCCTCCTCCCTCAGGTGTGGGCCCAGACACACTAAATTTCTTGCTAAGAGAAGAGTGTATCGATATGGCTATCATTAGCAGAAATTCCTTCTGCGCGCCATTGTTACTTTCCAAACTTCTGGTGCTTGCTCTTTGAACTCTAGGCTCTGGGGAGGTTAACCTAGTGGGTATGTGAGAATGGCTGTTCCTCTCGACTGTACCCTTCCCAAGTACATTAATGCTTTGTGTTGTCTCCTACCATATTTTTAAATATATCATTTGACATTTCATAGTTACACATTTGGAAAATACCAAAAAAGAGTGATCAAAATAAAAAGTGTTCAAATTTTGGGAGCTTTTCTGTGTATGGATGATGACGCTAGCAATAGCTTCTATGTAGTTCTAGCTTTTAATACTTTATGTAGTTTTCTACGTCTGATGACATGCTGTTCTTTTGCTTTTACTTACTTAAATTTGCTTCACTTTTTGAAATATATACTACTACCCCCATTTTGAAGCTAAAGAAGCAAAAAGAGATCAAGAGATCTCTCAGCCACTATTAATGCAGAACTTGAATTTGAAACCAGGCAATTGGCTTCACTCTTAGAGTTGTATGCCACACAGTTTTTGAAAAGTTCATGTTTTTGACTATGTTTTCAATTTTTTTGACAGCTGCATGTTATCATTATATAATATATATACATAACATAAATAGCTATTGATATATATTGCATGTATGTGATACAGGTATTGTATATGTACAATACCTACCTACACACACACACACACACACACATATATATAAAATCATTATATCATTATGTAACTTAAATTAATCTGAACTACAGGATTTTGAACTGAATCACTATTTTACTATTGGAAAATATAATTTATAAATAAACTTGTAAATATGAATCTTTGTACCTTTTTCTCATTGTTGACTACATTTCCATTTTCTAATGTCTAATTCCTGGATCATAGGCTCTGAATAAATCAAAAGCTTATGATACACCTTCAACAAAATCTTTCATAAATATTGTACCATTTAATCCCATATCAGCAGTTTTTCATGGGCTGATTACTATGGTGTCGTGGCTAATACAACTGTGGCATGTCTTCTATGAAGCTCACAGTGTTTTCTGGCTTTATGTAAAATGAGGAAACTTCATTTTTTAGGCAGATTTAGGTTTACAGAAAACTTAAGCAGAACATACAGAGCCTTCCCATCTATCCCTCAGCTCTCCCCAGATTCCCCGGCACTGACATTTTGCATGAGCTGGCGCATCTGGTGTAACTGAGAGCCAGTACCACCTAACTTATGAACCCGTCCGTACTTTACATGCGGTTCACTGCATGGAATGTTCTGTGGGCTGTGACAAATGTTAAAGATCGTGTATCCATGCACCTATTATAGCACCACATAGCCTAATTTTACTGACCTAATGATGAGTAAATGCTCTACCAATTCACCTCTTCTTTTCCCTTTGCAACCAAGGATCTTTTCACTGTTTACACGCTTACACCTTCTCTTTCTGGATTAATTTTTGGTGCGTGTATTTCCACTTTCCCATAGCTATCAGCCTTGAGCTTCGCTCTGTTCAGTATAACCACTTGTCCAGGTGGAAATACTATCCTTATTCTCTAGCCAACTGTGATTCATCAAAACAAACAATACTAACCGTTTCTAAGGCTCAACCAACACCTGATCCTTGAGTGTACCTGATACCCAAGCTGTTTTGTCTGTTTTGCAGTTCCCTAAGGCACAGCCCTTTCCAGGTTCCTCAACCAAATCTTCTAAAAGGCCAAAGGAATGGATCCCCTATACAGCAGGTGAGATACGGAATTTCTCAGGCATGTCCCCTGGGCAGCTGATTCTTGGCTCACGCTGCTCAGCAGGACTCATTATATATTACATAGTTTAAATAAACAAGAAGTTGGTATTGGTGAGCAAATGCCATGATGTACATTAGAGAAGTTAAAGCTGACAGCAGAGATGTTAAAGAGGACCAAAACGGAGCCCTACTCAATACTCAGCAGTCAATTTTATGGAAATGTCTTGACTGCTTCGGGGGAAAAAGGGAAGAGGGAACTAAACTGGGGACAAATGGAATTCTACCAAGAGACTGTCTCTACTCTACACCAGACCCATTTGGGTGGGAGACTGGGATTTCCTTGCCAATTTCCTGTCCCTTTTTGCCATCTCTTGTTACATATGTTATAAACAAGACATTATTAGAGTTCTTTGCTATTTTGAAAGAAAGAAACACAACACTTTTGAATTTTTTAGCTTCTCTAAAGGAGTATGATATGATGGTAAACACACACAAACACACACACACACACACACACACAGAACCCAAACAGTTTTTATCCTATATGAAAGAGACAACGTAATCTAGAAAGGAGCTCAGCTATTTGGCTAGTATCAGCCACAGTATCCGTTGAAGAGCAGAGGGTAGAATCCAAAACACCTAGCGCTCTCTTCAGGAGACATGGACCTGTGGTCCACAGCCTGACAGAGCCCGGAAGGTAAGTCCTCATGCCACAACGGCCCACACCTACCATTCTGGGTGAGCTTTGTGGAGCAGATGAGGGTGGCAACCTGAAAGCTGTCCTTCGTGCTGTCCTTGGCTGCAGCAGAGCTGCTCAGGGCTTTGGATGCCTGCAGCTCTTTCTCTTCCATCTCTAACTTGGTTCCAGGAAGGGTGAGGTAGAACTTAGCGTCTTCCATTTTCTTGTTGTCACCCTGAAAATGAAGCATGGTTAGAATACCAAATGATGGACAAAATCTCTGACAGGTCAAGAAAAGTCGTTTCTATTGTGAGCACCGTTCATTTCCAGCATAAGAAAGGGTTGATTAAGTTAGGCGTAGATCCTTTCCAACTCTGGGACATTGTGATACTTGTCCAGAGTTTGAACCCAGAAATAATTTCAACATTGAAGGAAAGTGGAGTAAGTTATAAACTAGAAAGCAGAAAATTCCTATCTCTAATGTAAGTAAGTAGATGTAATAAAGAATAAGTTTGGAGTTCACTTTCTTGAGTCAGTGACTAGTCTCAATTGTACTTCAATGGGCTGATGGCTTGCTTGGGAAGAATTAAGTTGCTGTGATTTGTAAGACTATACACTATGGAGTCGTTAAGAAAAATGAACATCAGGTAGATGCATCTCAAAAAAACTCTGTGATATTGTTGGATAAATGAGGCCTTCCAGCATCTATTTTCTTTAGATGCTAAAATCTCAGTAGAAGCAATAGCCCTGTAGCAGTTAGAAGGGAGGAATGTAGACACAGTTGTTAGGGAAGGAGACGAGGTTCCACTGCACAGAAATGACGCCTGGCTCCGATGATATGAAAACCACTTCCTACCACACCAGGTGTGCTCTAACCAAGGCCGACAGCAATGGGCCACACTGCACAGCATGACATCAAGAGTGGAAGGCAGGAAGGTGGCCCTTGATTGTCACCACCACAGACACTATTTGCCTATGAGCAGAGATGCCTCTTAGGAGGCTGAGCAACAATGCAACTTGCCTTTTCCAGAAAGGAAATGTAGGGGGTATGACCATAGCCATCTGGGTTTCTAGAATTTATACACTTAGACAGCTATACACTATAACTTGGAAGAAGTTTCTGATGTTTATATATGCAAAACTAAAGGAAGCCTTAAGAGTCAGTTCAGAGGAGCCACGTTTCTCCAGTCTTTTGTGAGCCTGGCTTTGTCAGTAGCACCTTATACACCACCAGGTCGTGCCTCCCATCCTGCAGAGTGGTGCCGTCCAGGTTCATCAGTTTCACGAAGGCCACCCCAAATGCTCGCTCCGATTTATCTCTGGCTGAAAAGACAGAAATATATGTCTGAGCAGAGCAGAAAGAAACCAGAAAATGAAGGCTATCTTGGCTGAGTCACGTCTTGCTGTGGGGTGTGCTGTTGAGTCATGCTTTCATTAACACAGTTCATCAGGACACAATAGGTCATATATGCTGTGACTGTCACAGATTCCTCCAACGACATATTTCCCAAGATGAAATCTTCCGTACCTTCCTTTTCCTACATTCACATATGGGTGAGACCATCATCCACCCCATCATCCCAATCAGAAATGTGGGTACCGACTCCACCTCTCTATCTTAAACACCTCCAGAGCCAGTGTTTTTCTCTCTGCATCCCTTCTGTTCTGAACTGTGTTCAGGCCACCCTCATCTCTTCTCTGTATGTGTGATCTTCCTAACAATTCTCCCTGTCAACGTCTTTTTTCACCCAACACTACTACACTAGAACGAGTTCCAAAGTCATATCATATCAGGTTGACTGCGCTGTTCCAAACCCCATGCAGGAGATATCCTAATTCTGTTGCTGTAAGATAGACTGAGTGAAATATTTATTATACACTAAGGTTTATAATATTATCTATGGCCTCTCCCTTTCTCATCCTTCCAAATATTGGCCTAGGTGCCAAGGAGGTGTGGGTATTTGTATCCTGCAGCATTTAAGGAGGAGAGTCTAGCTTCCTAGGTAAGCAGAGGATCTCCTGGTCTTCAGGTATCCCTTACTTGGATGCTATGACGGGGGGAGCTCATGGCCTGTTCTCAAAGTCTCAGAAACTAACGGTCTGAAGAGCACCCCACTGATTATACTATAATTTGTTTATCCATTCTTCTGTTGATGCCACTGGATATGTCCAATGGGGAAGATATTATGGATAAAGCTATTATAACCATACGCCACACGACCACACTACCCTCAAATGGCCCTGCAACCTGCCTCAATATAGCTTTTATCCACCATGATCTGGCTCAGGTCCACCTGGAATCAGACTGCTAAGGTATCTGATGCCACTTACTAGAGCTGTGAACTTGCAGACATTGCTTATCTCTGTTTTGCTATATATAAATTTGGATAAAAGTAGAATAAACCTTGTTAGATTATTATGGTTATACATAAAAGAGTGTATAACTAGAGTTTCACGTAGTGCTTTGTAAGTGTTTTCTTAGCATTATGTGGCTGCTGTCTGAAACTGCTGGCTTTAGACTATGCTGAACTACAGGAGGGGCAGCTAATACTATGATTCTACCCACTGCTCCCTTGTCAGTCCTGCTGAGTCTGCTTTGTCGTTGTCAAACACAGTTCTCTACCATCACTCTTCACGATCGAGTCTCAACGAGGATGTAGGAAATTTGATGCATAAATGCCCAGAAGGGATAAGTCCTGTGTGCTTGTTTCTGAGGTAGCATGTCTCATACTTTTCAGAGGTAAATTGGTTGTTTACTTGCTCAACTTCCTAAATTGATCATAGAGATGCTATCAAATTTCTTTGTTCAGATTTGAGAACAACATCTTATGAACTGTGATCTAAGACTCAGAATAATGTTTAAAGAAAAAATTATTCAAACTTGGGGCTAACAGATTAAGCTGTCTTCTTGCTGTAGGAATATAAAATTCTCAACAGTGTCTGGGAGGAGACAACACACAGCGTTTTCTAACCGAACTGACTGTGAAATCCTTTTCATCATAGATCCTCTGCTAGCATCTCAGTGGACTTAGGATTCACAGAACATATTTTATCCTCATAGCATATAACTCACAGAACATTTGGGGGGAAACTCTGGTATAAATGATAAACAGTTCTTGGAAGGCTAGAAATATTTGTCTTTCTGCTTTCCTTGGCACCAATTAATCCTGAAATAAAGATGCCAAGAATCTAGTTCCCAAGTATCTTCTCCAGATGCACAAAAGCTGTCAAGCAATAATAGATACTTTTTTCCAATTGTAGATACTTTTTTAAATGGAAATATGTCACAGACCTCCTAATACTCACATTCTTGAGATGACCTGTGTCTGAAGGTAAATCTTATATGGCAGCGGGTGACTTCTTCTATAGCAATGGATACCTATATAAAATAAGGAATTAATAGTTTATATAATTAATAGATATATATATACAATATGTAATATGTATTCATGTAAGATATAATTATAGTCAATATATCATATACTTGTAATATATTAATAGTTATATGTAATTAATCATTTGTATATGATTAATATAGATAATAGTTTATGTGTAGGTATATATACACAGTATTTTATACTCACAGTATTTTATAGAACCAGGTTCGCTTTTAGTTTCTCACCATAGCACTCATTACTTTAGAGTAAGTCTTAACATGAGATTTTACTCAAAGGAAGGTTAGCTATTTCAAACCAAAAGAATCTCAAGAGGAGATCATCTGTTATTTTTCAGATCCTGAGAATAGACATATTCCAAGATATTTCAAATTTCTAGTATTTTCTTAAGTATGAAACAGGAAAAAGAAATCTACACAGGACATTTCAGGTTGTAAGACACTACTGATGTGGTACTGGTGAGGGTCTTTAAAACAGAATGAAAGCGTAGAATGGTCCCTGCCCGGTAGTGCCATGGGTTAGAGAGCAGCACTGCAAGTGAGCAGCAGCCGCATCAGTGCGAGTTCGATCCCTGGTTCTGGAGGTGACCACATGGCGTGGCAGACCTCTCCTGACCCTCCTCCTGCTCCCCTCAGCAGTGTATTTTGCCGATCTGCCTGTTCTGCTCTCTGGTGAATCCTCTCACCACCCCTGCGCCTCTGGCCTGTACCCCAGTTCTATATGCACAAATAAATAAATCTTTAAAAAAAAAAAGTGCAGAATGCTGGGGACAAGGAAAATGGTGACACAAAGCAATAAAAAGGCTGACAACTGTGGCAATCAATTAAGCAAACTGTGGCAAATCACACACTGGATCTGCTTGTCATTCTGTTCTAATATTGATCAGCAAGAAAACAACCCAGGCCGATGCTAAATGAAACAACACTGTTGCTTGAGGACCAGATTTATTTTTTTCATATAAACACGGTAATTCAAAACATTGGATGTATCTAAAATTGTGTTAAAATGGTCGCCGATGAAATGTGATATGAATGGAGCATCTTTTTGGCATTTTCTGTGAAAGAGCTCATAAAAACCCTGACGGGCAGAAGGAGCTGGTGGGGCCGGGCACTCCAAAGCGGGCCCCAGTTCAAGTCTGACACTAAGCAGCTGTGGGGTTTGGGGAAGTCGCTAAACGTCTTGGCGTCCTGGGACCTAAGCAGCTGGCAGACATGACAACACCTGACTGCTGTAGCCAGAGGGCTACGGTGAGCCTCCTGTGAGATGACGGACCTAAAAGGCACTTTGGAATTTCTAATACGCACAGTTAAACTGTAAAGAGGCCTGGTCAAAGGCCAAGTTAAAAAAAAAAGTAACAGTCTGCAGAGGTGAAAATTTCCACTTGGTTTGGGCCACCCTGGCAGCCTGGAAGAACCACAACTTTCCTTTATTCCAGTTTCGACACATTTAAAAATGAGAATGTTATTTAAGCGAGCTGAGTTTACTAAAGATAAATGCTCTTCTCCAGAATTATAACTACAGATTCCTTTCTCACTGCACACCACAGGAACTCAAGTTCAGGATAGGTAGGAATGATGTGTGGGTGACGAGCAGAGAGGAATTTAAACAAGGCTAATACAGAATGGCGGGGCAAATGGCACCTTCTCACCTTGACTGTCTCGTACCAACACGGCTGCTTGACTTGGTAATAGACGACTGATTTGTACTCTGAAATGCCTTCATATCCAGCACCAGGATGAATTGCTTTCTTTGGATGGAAAGGAAAAGAGTTAGGTGGGCATAATACCCTCTAGAAAAGTTACTGCTCTCTCCAGGAGTCTCCTGCCCACCATAAGGCTGGTGTGTGCCTTGCACTGACACATGCAAGGATCACATTTGAGGGAAGAGAGTAGAGTGAGAATAAGTTTGTGCTACTTTCTGTGAGGATCTGAGTAACTAAATGGGGTGATCATGTAGAGACATGGCACCACCTTAACATCCTTAACATTCCTCTTTGCATAACTTTTATTTTCTCTTCCATCCTACCCCATACCCTGTGGCATTTCTCTCTCAGCACCCGGATGCCTAGTGAAGGTGACCAGGAGTGACAGCACATGATTCCTCCCTCCTGCCTATACTTGCTCTGAGAACCTGGCGGACATTCATTCAAACTTAGGCTATGTCCATTCCTAGCAAAGGAACACTTGGCTCAGTAGACGCAGGCGTCAATAGGGGCCTACCAGCCAGCTAGGAGGGTCATGAACTGACTGACCAGGTAAAAAACTGAACTCAAGTGAGTCCAAGGGCTCTAGTAATAAGTCAGCTGCCACCCTGACTCACAGCCTTCTGTTTATCCCTCCATCACAGACTATGACTTGACTTAGGCCATTGTTTGAGTACAGTTTGAAGATTATCATTTCCATGGGGAGTGAGGAGGTGGTATACTTCACTGTATGTTCAAGAACCTACATGATGAGGCTGTCAGGGAGCTGAATAGGTGGAGGGCTGATTCTTGATTCCAAAGCAGGTAGCTGACTCAGTAAGAGCAGCCAGATTTCAGTAGGGACAACAAGAGGTGTCTGTAGCCACCGCCTGCGGATGCTTCTCTTTGATGTCTCAGAATCAAACCTGATTCTGAGAGAGAACAGCTCTGCACTGGAAGCCAGGGCACCTGGGTCCATCCCTGGCATTCCCTGAGAAAGCAACTATCTACTTGGACTGGAGTTTCCTGATGACAAAAATAAAGAGCAGTGGCAACTGAATGCTAACACAGAGCTCCTCACGTTAATAGCTCTGCTGCGCACTTAGCCTTCCGGTTCTGTTCACCAGCTGAGGAATGTGCCTTTCAATGCCTCTGGGCACGCACACCACTTCCTTCAAGCTGCATAGGAATGTAACATGGCTTGAAAGTGTTTAAATACCATGAAAATGACAGAACCTCTGCATTAGAATTTTATACATGAAATAATCAGTGGCTTGAAATATTTCTTAACATAGAAGAAATATGAAAAGAAGAATCGAAATGGGCTTAATAGCAAAACCTGTAACTACTTTTCTCATGTTGATTAGATTTCTTTTTTTTTCATTATGAAAAATCAAATGCTCCCAGTTGACATCAGGTCAAGGCCACTGTACTGTACAGAGGTGTGTGACTGCAGCAAGCTTTCTAGGGGACACCACACACCTCCTGGAGTCTGCCTTCTTCATCGTGCACAGACATGGTCACCTCCACGTTCTTTGGCGTCTTCTTTTTCCCCTTGTCAAACTCGCCATGGATCAGGGTGACGTAAATGTCATTCCGGACATCTCCTACAAGTAACAACAAAGCATGCTGAGAGAAGTCATTTCTCATTTTGGGCATGTAACAGATATAAAAGGTGGGCAAAGTATGAAAGGCACTGACTTTATACAGCGATTTTTTTACACATACTGTGCTCTTCAGCTTATTTCAATTCTGCTTGTCCTTACCTACCAAGATGTCTTTCAAATATAGTTTTAAAAGATTAAAGCTTCTCAGTAGTAATTCTTGGTTTTCTTCTTAATACTTGTTGCCTAATGATAACATATATCTTATTAGTGTATAGTGGCAGATTTTTGTTCAGTAGTGCCTTGGAGAGTGTGATATTTTAACACATCTGAGACTAGTGAAGCTAATACTTACTGAATGCTTATTATGTATCAGGCACTGTTCAAGGTGACATAAGCATTAGTTATTAAAATCCATGTAACAACCTTATGAAATAATTTCTGAAACTCGCAGTTTACTTCATGTTTATATAATTAAGCTTAATTGTTTTTATCAATTCCAGAGTCATTTTTGCTCGTCACTTTTTTTTTTACCAGTACAAAATTCTAACTGCACTATATTAACTATCTTCCAATGTAAGACATAAACTTGACAGCCCTATCCGAAAACAGGAGTGCACTTTCCAGCACTTATCATTTCCATCATTACATGAGTGGAAAAACAATTAAAGTTTTGCCGTGAAGAAAAGGGGCTTATTTATATGTTACATTTTGGAATCTTAATTGACATAATCTTGTCAATGAAGATAATGACAACTGGTATAAAAAGTCTGATACAGTAACTTCATGAGTAGTATTTGTCTCAAAGTATTAAAATGCAGTAATGATTTATGGGTATTCTTTGTGTTTGATGAAAGTAAAAACTTGGAAACATTCTCAACTTATCGCCATTGACAAATGTTTGAATTAATGATAGCACAATCAGACAAGAGTGAAGCATCTACCTACTCATTTAAAACTTACTGAGCAGCCACCCTGTACCAGGAATGGTGCTAGCTGTTGGGGAGATGATGGTGAGCCTCACTCACATACAGCTTATAGCCTAGTGGTGGAGAAAAGCGTTGAGATTATATAAGCAATGAAATGTGCCATAATAAATGAAGGAACAGGCCAGGCTCTGTGAAAGCATAATACGATGTTCCAACCTTATCTGAAGGATGTGGGAATCTTTCCTTTGAGCTGACACTGGTGGGATGAGAGTAAAGAGAGAGTAGCATGTGCAAAGGTAGAAGACAACCTGACAGATGTCTTGATGGGGAGGGGGCGATCTCGAATGAGATGAGGCTACAGAGACAGACAAAAGACAACTCTCCCTGGGACTTGCAGGCCAAGTTAAGATTTTGGATATCCATCCTAGATTTTAAAAAAAGTCATCAAAATGTTTTCAGCAATGGACAAAAATCAGGTGGGCTTTCATAAAAGATCATTTATGCTGCTGTGTAGAAAAAGAATCAGGAAAACTAATTGAGAAGCTGTTGAGAGGCAATTGTCCAGAAGAGAGTTAATAGTAGTTACAACTCAGGTCGTAGTGAAGGGGATGGATCTGAAAGGTCTTTGAAAGGTGAAACTGTGGCCCTCACTAGTGGCGCCATGGGTTAGGACGCAGCACTGCAAGCTGGCCGCAGGTGCTTCAGTGCATGTTCGATCCCAAGCCCCAGAGGTGATCCACATGGCGCAGCAGACCTCTTCTGACCCACGCACTGCTCCCCTCAGTAGTGTATTTCGTCAATCTGCCTGTTCTGCTCCCCACTCTGTCTCCGGTAAATCCTTACACCACCCCCTGAAGCTCTGGCCTGTATCCCAGTTCTGTATATATACATAAATATATCTTTTTAAAAAATAAATAAAAGGTGAAACTGGCAACTAATTTTGGTTGAAGTGTCAGGAGAAAGGGGGTGTCAAGGGTGACTCTCGAGTGTCTTATTTGTGCACCTGGATGGATGCAGGTGCCATTCTATTAGATAAAAAACAATAGAAGGGCCAGGTTCAGAAGCACAGGACTTTGAGTTCCAAATGGGGATGTTTGAGTAAGCATTAACCAGTAAGCGAGAATAGCGACCCTGCCAGGGGTAGGCAAAGCAGTCAGATCTATGGTAACAGAGTCTCAGGGCTAGAGATAGGGATTAGGATGCAAGTAGCCCACAGAAGGCAAATGAGTGGACCAGATCACTCTGGAGAGAACACAGGTGAGAGGGTTGGAGGACTCATTATGGGTTGAATTATGTCACCTAACCCACATTCTTATGTTGATGTCCTAAACTCCAGGACTTCAGAGTGTGACTGTATTCAGAGAGAGGCCTTCATAGGGTAATCAAGGTAAAATAAAGGCACGTGATGGGTCCTTGCCTACCATAATTTGTGTCCTCACAAAAGGAAATCTGAACAGAGAACCTAGGAAAAGACACAGAAAGATGGTGACCATCTACAAGCCGATAAGGGAGGCATCACCATTGCTGGTATCGCCCACTGGCTCGGTACTGCTGACTGGAGGTAACAAAATCCTACTTTGCTACTGTCCTCTTCAAATTAGCTGCTACATGAAAGTATGCCCTAAAAAGATGCAGAACAAGTACCAAGCCAAGTGTTTACCTGGAAGAATTATTTCTGGAAAGCCCATTTTCCGGGCTATTGCTGTTGATCTGTCCACCAAGTGTGAAAAATTCTTCTGAACCTGCGTGAGATCCCCAGGCAATAGTTTCAAGGACACCCAAAGTCCTTTAAAGAAATAAAAGATAAACTTAGTTCGGTGTTATGAGCTAAATAATAAACAACATAAATATTGAGCAAGTACATGCATTCTATTGATAGACAGATGTCTTATTATAACCACATTCTCTTTCGGTTGACTTGTAATTTTAATGACACTCCAATCAAAACCAAACCAGGACTTCTTAGACAATTAGACTGAGGCATAACCAGATATTTGTTTGGGGGAGAAAACAAGTTATAAAGATGGCACTTAACAGAAAATCAAGGGCCATACAACTATTAAGCAATAGTAGTTGTAGAAGTAGTGATAGTGTTGGTAGAAAAAGTGTAAAAAGGTGTAAAATTTTGTGGAAACAATGGGATTAAGTACTTTACAGCAATCAAATATATGGCAAATAGGTAGGAAAATAATAACAGAAACAATTTCATTAAAAAGCTGCATAATTTTCTTGCTACTTTGAACACAATTTAATTTTGCATTAAAATAAATTCCTAATACAATAATATAAAAGTATATAGAAAAAAGAGGAATTTTTAAAAGTGTATACTGATTAAATCACTGAGAATTTGTCATTTTTCTAAGTAAAGAAACATAAGGAAAACACAAAAACAAAAAATTATGTACAAACTGAAAGTTTTAAAATTCATCAAAATGTAAAAGATTCTGTAAAATGGTACAAAAATTCATAGGAAATTATGAGTTTATACTCATTAAAAGGAAAAACTTTAAATGTAGTCAAATAAATAGGATATATACAATTTACAAGGATGTAGAAGAAACTTATAGATACTTGGCAAACCAAAAAATGGGAAACTTGGTAAATAAGACAGCATAACCTTCAGCTATATGAAGAGTTCACAAAACTTAAGGAAACTTTAGAAAACTCACAAACGCATAGGAACACTAGATCATTCACCTTTAAGCAGATGCAAGAGGACCTTAAATTAACACCTTTCAAACTGGGAAAGGTTTTTAAATACTACTTTGCAAAGCAGGCAAAATGCTAATTAATGTCTACCGGTAGAAATCTATGAAAACCAATCTGATCGATAGTATAATCTGGGTTTAAGGCTGCTCTAATCATTGACCCATAAGTCCTATTTCTGGATATTTTGTGGAGAAATAGTTCTAAAAGTGGAAAATACTTCATGTATAAAGGTAGTCACAGTAGTTATCTAAATGTATAGTGTTGACAAATTAGGAAGCATTCAAGTGTTTAATTCATTACTTTAAATCCAAATGCTGGAATAATATACAGCCACAAAAAATACTTTGGATAGCATATAAATATTGTTTTGTTAAGCAACAGAAGTTATTTTTTAAAAAGTAATTGCATGTAAACAGCAATCTCTTCAATAGAAAGTTTTTCCACTCTCGCTGAATATACCATTGGATTAGGAGTCCTAAAGTGACAAAAATATTTTAAGTTATTTGTTTTCAGATTCTTTAATGATTACTGATGTGTTCAATAGCTGTAAACGCACAGGAAACTAAATATGCTGAAAGTAATGTGTCCTGGTTGTTCTACTTGGGAAGGTGGTTATAGGATGGTGAAAAAAAAAAAAGGCGACTCAATATTCAAATTCAAATATATCCAAAATCTTCACCACCCTTGGATTTTAATTAAAATTTTGAATTATTTTTCTTTGTTACCTGAATTTAAAATGCAGTTTTAATACCTAGCACTTCTCTTAATTAAAACTGTGCCAACAGAACAATACATGGAATTACTAAAAACTTTAAGTTTTGCTAGTGAGCCTATTATTTTATACTAATACATGTTCATTTGTAGTACTTTGGTCTCTTTCCTATCAATTTTAGGAAAGCTAAAGTAATAAACATATTCAGAGTAGAATATATATTGTGCCCCAAACTTTTTTTTTTGGTGCATTTATGTAGGTCAGTGTTGGGATTACAAAGCAGAAAAAAAACGAGGAAAGATTCATGGGGTAAAAATTTGTTCCATGAAATTCAGAAAACACAGCTGTGGCCCCGTTCAGGGCTGGCACCTTCTCGGAGCGCATCAGTATCCAGTAGCATCACGCAAGCGGAGGTGGGGAGAGCCCAACAGGGTCTGCTTTGCAGCAGAGACACGACATGAAGGGGCAGGAGTCCAAGAACCTCACTGGGAATGGCACCTCCCGGGACCCTCCCAGCTGAGAACTCAGGGCCGTGCACCTTGTCCTTTGTGATTCACTTCCTTCCCTGCTATCACTTTATTCAAGACTGAAGTGAGTGGCTCATTTTCCCCAATCACGTGGGATGTTATCAGCGGTGACATGATTAGCTGCCTCTGCCGGATATACGTTTCCATTGCAATTCTGGGAAAGACAGAAAGGAGAGGTGAGAAAAAAAAAGAAGTTGGTAGCAGTCTCAGAGAGTGGTGACTCCTAAGGGAAACAGAAATACTAAATATTCTTAATTGCAAGGCTATCTATTTTTCATGGGGCGCCTATCTGAGACACCAATTTCATCTTGGAAATAACTCGGAGCAATGAAGGAAAACAAAAACAAGAACAAACCAAATGTTAACCACTAAATCGGGGCAATGGCTGCTGCCTTTACATGGTGGGAGAGGCTACTGCGATGGGGTAGAAGGACCAGGAGAGGGACAGGAGACCCAGCAGCCTCCTGTTCGCTTGCACTTGACAATGAGCTTCAGGAGGGTCCCCTTTCCTGGCCTTGTGGACACGGGTCACGTCAGCGTGTGAGAGCAGCACAGGCAGAGGCATCTGGAGTGTGTTTTTAGGCTCCCCTGTGATGACACTGGACAAGCAGCAGCAAACAAGCTTCACTTCAATGGTCACAGCAGGCTGAGGCTCGCGGAGAGACTCAAACACAGCGCCCTTTTACTTGACAGCACTCAGCACTATCAGGAACTAACATCAGCCTGGCGCAAGACAATAGGCTCCAGTCTTCTCTGGGGTGGTTTTATTCTTAGGCCAGCTTTCCAGAGGGTTCAGATCTGAATCCTGACAATAGGGGGAAAATACTGCAATGTGTTTACTGAAAACTCGGATTGTGATGGTCTGAGCTGTTGTTTCCTTAGATGTTGTGGTAGCATACCACTAGCACCTTCTCCAAACAGAATACACTAGAAAGCTTTTGAGGTAAATAATGCAAGCAAGCTTGACCATAAATCTTAAGAGTGAAATGCCAGAAGCTGAAATTTGCAACATAAGCATTTTAGAGGCGACTGGCTGCACAGTGAACTGTAATGACAAGGGGCTCAGCTCCTCCCACAGCACTGTGCTCTGTGGTGAGGCATTCTGAGGGCTATTTCAACACGGCTGCGGGACAAGCAGGGAGGCCACTACCAGAGAAGAAGCCCCTCCACAGGTGAAACAAATATATGTACATATTTCAGACACTTTCATATCCATGAGTACTGCTCCTATGTTAGACATACTGAAAGGAAACATTATGTATATAGTTATAGATGGAGCAGAACAACTTTCATATCTACAAATACTGCTATTTGATATATACTTATAATTCAATATTGTATATGAAGCAGAATAATTTTGATATTTATGAGTGCTGGCCCAATTTGATTATATTAATAGTTAAAGATATTCACAAAGAATAATTTTTGTTATCTGTGAATGTTATCTGATATCTATTTGAATCAGAATTTTTGTATCTATGAATACCATCATCCCTATCATTTATATGTATATATGTTATATACTTCATGTAGCTTTTATATCATGAATGCTGCTTTAGTATACATGTGATACTATATACATGTACATAATACATATAAAATAATTACCTATGTGCACATATAATAAGAACAGCACTCATCGATATGAAAGTTATATATATACTTATATACGTATGTTTATATTACATCTTTATATATTTAAATGTACTTGCACTTACTCAATTTTTGTTTAAATTTTTATTTGTACATAATACATATATAATTTATTAATTATTAAATTTAATGTATTCAATATACGTACTTAAATATGTAGTTATGTATAGTGGAGCAGCATGTATGATTTGAAAGTTATCTCATAATTAAGATTAGCATTAAGCTAATGAAATATTTACTATATCATATTCTTGAAGGGTCAGTATATAAGTGATAGAATACTAAAAGATCATATTTCTAAAATAACTAATATCAGCCTCTGTATAAATTATTCTGCATAATCTGTTTGTATTATATTCATATACATTATATACATGTGTGAGTACAAGTTGTTAAAAGTTTTGTGTGGTTAAAGTACAAAGTTTTCTTTTTAGTTGATTCATTGGTGTCCAGCTCAGAAAGGCTTCCAGATCCTTGCTATTATATATTTTTAGTTTCCTGTAGTATTTTAAGATCTTTAGCTCTTACATGTTTAATCACTTGGGGTTTAGAGTATATGAGATGTCAGATCAGTTCTAACAGGTTTCTGAGATGGGTAGCTAGTTTTCCCAAACAAGTGTGCTAGACAGCTTATCTCTCTCTATATTGGTTTATTATTGATATTTTTATAATATGATTTTTAAATAATACAACCATATTATTTTTTTTTAAATCATGCATTAACTCAAAGATCCTCAGGCTGGTTTCTGCAATTTTCAGTTTGTGATACTGATCTGCTATCCCAGCGGCAAGTTGGCTGAGTCACCTTCTGACATGCCTGCCCTGTGGGGTCAGGCCTGACCTGGGCCGCCACCTTTGCAACTGTATAAGGAGCAGGACGGCGAGTCAGCCGTGGTGTTTATGCATGCATTCTTCAGACACACGGGAATGAGATTTGCTCGCCAGCAGCTCCCAGCAGCCCACCCAGGGCCAGCCCCTCATTAAGGCCAGTGGGTGGTATTCTGTGCATATCCTTCCACGGACCCAGGCTGAATTTTCTCCACTTGGAGATGAGTCAGTCCTTCACTCCTGCACTCCTAAATCCTTGCAACTCAAAGCGTGGTCCCCAGGCCAGCATCACCAACACCATCTGGAAGTTTGTTGGGTGCAGACCTACTGGGTGCCTTTTTGCCTTTTCACAAGATCCCAGGGTGATTCATGTGTGTTACAGTTAGAGAAGCTGTATGTGATTCCCAATGTGATTCCTGATTTTCTGTGACATCTGCTCCATAAGAGAAAGCACAACTAGACTGACATTTCTGACAATTAAATGCACTATCCTCTGGTTTCCCATTTGCTCCTTAATATTCCTATTGTCATTTTGCTAGAAACAGGAAAGTTAACTTTACCCTCTTAAATTAGAGTACAAAGGATTTTATATAAAGTCTCCTGTCAGTTCTGACAATCTTTTAAGAGGCTTTCCTTCCTTACCTGAGCAAATGGTGCCCGGCACTACTTGTATGTTAACACATCACCTACAAGTCTAATCCAGGTCTCAAGTCACCTGGGATAAATGCCAAAGTACTTACTGCTGAAAGGGAATAAAATGCTGCTTTTCTTCATCATCCACCTTCCCATGTATGATATCAGTAATATCCATCACTAGGAAAAAGATAAATGTAATTAAAGAAACTAATGGCTTCAGGCCTCGCTAGTTACAATGGAAAATTACAGTCTCAGCAAACACAGACACATAGACACTGGAGGAAGAAAGGGACTAAGAGGGCCATTTCTTTCTTTCTTTCTTTTTTTTTTTTTTTGCCAATGGTGATTCTGTATTCCCAGCCAAGTTGAAGAGTAATTCACCCAGCTCATGCAGGGCTTGGATTTTCTCAGACTAACCCTGAAGACTGTTCCTTTAAAAAAAAAAAAAACCAACCAAACAAACAAAAAAAAACCTGCAAGACGGGGTCACTAATTCTTGAGAAATACGAAACTGGATTACTTTCGAGTAAGATCCAGAGAAAATATATTTTGAGCACAGATGCCAACAGATTTAAAGACTTGGGAAGAAAATCAAGACTTGAGTGGTCATCTCTCCCTTTGACTTGACATATTCTCACCTGGTTTCAGGGCACAGGAGCACAGAACAGATTTGCTTCTTCATGTTCGAGAAGAACAATTAATATATAGCACAGTTCTAAGTCTATGGCCCATATTATCTTATTCCTACAAATATCAGTATTAGTTCTACCTTAAGAGATGAGGAAACTGAGCACAGGAGAGGTAAGTATCTTAGCCTAGGTCAGAGGTTTTAGCTGGCAAAGCTAGGTACGGCTTACTTACTAGTAGTGGTAAAACAATTAGCATTATTCTATAGCTACTGAAATTAGGCAGGGACCACGGCAAGAAGGAGTCACTTGGTTAATAAGTTACAATCTTACTATAAAACACAAGCTAACAATCAATTTTCCTGATAAGAAGTTTGAAGATGAAAAGAAATACTGAGCTATGAGACACTTTCAATAGAAAAAACAAAGGGATAGCAATGCCTTGTCAACGTATCCCAAACCACATGGTGTGCAAGGTTTGGGAAATTTGAACGTTGGCAAAAGGAAAGTGTAGAAGTAGGCATGACACGCAGCCCTTCAGGAAAGCCTGCGAAATCAAAACATTTATCTTTGACTCCGCCAAGCAGGTGCCTTGTTAACACTATCTACTCGTTCCCAAACTCATGTTCAGCATCAACACTCAGAGTGAATTTATCTCCTCTCCATCCCACCACCAACATCTTGAACAAACACACACACATATACACAGAAAAAAGTGTCAGGCTTGATGCTGGGCTCACTCTGGCCCATGTGAATGAATAGGACTTAAATTCTTTTATGGGACAATAAAGAAATTGCTGGAGAGATGGTTACACTGTCCAGGGCGAGGGGCCCTTGCTTTTCTGTGATTTCGTTTTGGTTCTCTTGCAGGAAGTCATTGATGCTGTCCCTTCTGGTCAAAGACTGGGACACTGTGACAGCAGGTGGAGCAGAAGAAGGCAAAAAAGAAACACGGGTCCAGGGCCTCAGGGAAGAGTGACCTCGTCACTGCATACAGACCTTACAAGGGCGATCTGATAGCATGGAGGTTCTGGTTCCCTGATCCAAGGGTGGAACGAGGGCATTTTGTGGATAAGTGTCAAAATTTCTTAGTGCACAAATTTCAATGTAAGATAAAGAACATGTTTCCTCAATTTAATAAAATACAGGGCAAAATGTCTGGACTCTTAGAAGGCTGTGGGGTTTGACCCACTTTGAAAAGTAATTACTCACCAGGGAGAATTTTATTCCATTGAAATTAGTATGTGGCCTCAGGCCGGGAGTATTCCAACAGTCACAGCTGAGGTTTTAGAATGAGTATACACAACTGTACATAAGAATGTGCTGGGCCAATCCCACTCCTAGGTATCTACCCAAAAGACATAAAAACACTGATTGAAAAAGATACCTGCACCCCCATGTTTAAGGCTGCTTTATTTACAGTTGGAAAAACATGGAAGCAGCCCAAATGCACAAAAATAAATGACTAGATAAAAAAGATGTGGTACATATATACAATGGAATATTACTCAGCAACCAAAAAAGAGAAACACATGTCTTTTGCAGCAACTTGGATGAGCTGGAAAAGATCATGCTTAGTGAGATAAGCCAGAAAGAGAAAGAAAAATACCGGATGGTTTCACTCATAGCAGGAGTATAATGGACCAGGCGAGAAAATAACAAGAATAATGAACAACCATATACCAGAGATGTTTTGCGGGGGTGGAGTGGGGAATGGGATCAAAAACGGGGGGTGGGGAGGGAAGTGCACGGGATTATGGTGATGGCACACGGGTGACTTGGTGATGGGAAACCCGCGGGGAATACAATTGAGATGGAAAAAAAAAATGTACAAAATGATGTGAAAATAAACTGTTATAAAAAAAAAAAAGAGAACTACCCTATGGGGCAAAAAAAAAAAAAAAAAAAAGTGTGCTGGGCATGGGAGGGAGAAAAACATGAGGGTGAAGACTTAGAACCCAAGGGCAGGTAACTGCAGCCCCAGGCAGGAAAACACTGGGGTCCAATTCTGATGACGACAAGCAGGTGCATGTTGTACTGTCTCTGCATCTGCCTCCTTTCTCCCACCCCTGCCCCCGCTTCCTTTTCTCTTCCTTTTTTTTCTTTACAAATTTTTCTTTCTTGACTTATTTTTCTTTAAGAAAATTTTAGCATGGTAAATAAAATTTACCATCTTAGTCATGCTACGTAAAATTCAATGGCATTAACTTAAACCAGATGTGTTCCTCTTCCCCAGCTGAAGGCCCTAACTCCCCAAGTCCCGGCTTCCACCCCCAGCAACCACCACTCCACGTCTGTCTCTAGGAATTTGACAACTCACAGTACTGTGTCTAAGTGGGACCATCCTGTATCTGACTTTGTGACTGGCTTATTCTACTGAACATACTCTTCAAGGCCCATCCATGCTGTAACATGTCAGAATTTCTTTCCTTTTTTAGGTTGAGTAATATTCCACTGTATGGATATACCACTTTTGTTTATCCAACTTCTGTTAATGTACATCTGGGTTGTTCTGCCTTTTGACTATTGTGAATGATTCTGCTATGCACCTGTATGTAAAAATATCTCAGGGCCCTGTTTTGAATTTTCTGGGTTAGATACCCACAAGTGGAACTGCTGGATCATGGTTTCTATTTAATTTTCAGCACTTGCCACCCTGGCTTTCACTTGTCTGTGGGTCCTTCTGTACCTGCAACCCCAAAGGGCCTTCGGAGTCCACAGGTGTGCTTTTTGCCCTCCTTCAGCTCCATGTGACCCACCCGGACGATCTGGCACACGAGGCTGATGCGGGGCCGGATAAGGTCTGTGCTGCTGAGGTCCTGCAAGGCAGGCAGAGAACAAACAAAGGCCGTCACCCTGTGTGCATCACTTTCCTTTCCACGCTAACAGAACACCATTCAGAGGCTATTTCCTAAGGCTGAAATATCAGGAAAAAAACCCTCTTCCTCAAACCCATCCAAGAACCACCATAGTGTCAGAGAAAAGTAACTTTGCATCCAGAAAAGGACTTTGCATTTTTTAGTTCCTACTTCTGTTATAAAAACATGAGAGAATGCCTAGAGTGTTCCTAGTCTAAAAGAAAGAGTCCCTATGCCTCACCCACAGCCCAGTGCACTTTCTTGCCCTTGATCTCCATATATAGCTGTACTCCTCCTACCTTAGAGAAGTAGAGAATGTGAAGGATAAATCTTTTGAAGTCTTAAAAACAAAAATCCAGCTGGTCCACTTCTGTCCCAGCTATAACCCCACCTGGAATGCTCCTTCCCTTTATCTCACTCCCATCAACTTTAAGTTCTTGCTCAAACAGTGCACACAGAAGGTCTGCCTTGACCCAACCACTTTGAAGAGCAACGATTCCCCCAAAGCATTGTGACTGCTAATATTTTATACAATCATTCATGTACTCAATTATTGTCTATTACTCTCTTTCCATGCGCATGAAAGCACCTTGAAAACAGGATTTTTTCTTTTTTTTTTTTCTGGTGAGTTCACTGACATGTCTGTCTCAAGAGCCTAGACCAGAGCCTGGCATCTCACAGGTGCTCTAAAACAGGTGTTCATGAATGAATGACTCGGGGATGCCAATATTCATTTGCACTTTTTATGTTCTCTACATACTTAACCATGTGCAACTACTAATAGTATAAAGAAAATGGTTAAACACGCGGCAGGACTTACGGTAAAGACTGCTTGAAGGTTATTGAGCTTCTCTATCTCCTTGGGCATTCCATTACTGCCCCAACGAATTAGATAGTTCTCACTGGGCAAGAGAAAAGAAAAATAATGATGAGGGGCTTTCTGGCAAAGGAGCTGCCCTCAACATAGCCTTTAAAAAGTCAAATAAAGGCCCAGAAAACTTGAGTGAAATCATCAGGCAGGTAGACTCCAGCTGTGGGGAAATGTGGGGGCCACAGCCCGGCACCACAAGGCACCCCCCAGCGTGGACCTGAGACTGGGGCTGCACAGACACGCAGGTGTTGTCCGACTCTCTGGGGTCCTTCTTCCAACTCAACTTCTTTATGTAAGTTCACCTTTACCAAATCAGGAATATAATTCTATAACCATCACTGGTGAATCCATCCCGTGGAATCCACATCATCACATGCAAATAAAATTTCAGTTTTAGAAATAAACAATTTGCCAGTAATTACTTGTAACCATTTTCTCAAAAGTCAATCTGTTTTTATAGCTGCTCAGTCATTATGCCACTGTAGGGTTGAACAAAGACATTAGCATTTCCTATGCTCTTTCTAGAAAAAACATTTATAGACTAATTTTTAGAGTAGTTTCAGGTTCACAGAAAGTTGCATGGAAGTACAAATCTTCTATATACCCTCCCCCCCAAAACACAGAATCTCTCCTACTATCAAAATCTTGCACCAGAGTGGTATATTTACAACAACAATGATATGTTAAATTGACATATTATAATCACCCAACATCCATAGTTAACATGAGGGTACGTTCTTGGTGTTTTACATTCTGTTGGTCTGGACAAAAGTTGAATGGCACGTATCCCCCGTGAGAGCACAAAGAGTCATTCCCTGCCTTAAAATCCTCTGCTCTCTCTCCCAGTTCACCTTTGCTCTCCCTCCCTTGCAGTCTTCTGAATCCGCTCCTCCGTTCTGCCTCTGTGTCTGATGAATATTACAGGGGCTCTACGACCCAGAAGATACACAGTTATTAAACTGCTGCGGCAGACACATAGAAAGGTTTAGAAGCCCAAGGAATTTACTTTCCTCTGCCTAGAAATCCTCCCCTTCTCAAATTCAACCAAGATTCCCTCCGGTAGGGGTACGCGAAAGCTGGCTGTGTCACAAGACTGGGGCAGATGACCTCGTAGTCCACTACCTGATGAAGGTGGATTGGTCGGGGTCGTAGAGGGCCATGAACAGCTCCGCGTCTTCACCGATGTTGCAGACGAAGTTCTTGAAGTTCACGTAGAGGCCATACGTGTGGACAGCGCTGAAGATGGACTGGCCCCGCAGGTCCAGGCTCTGCAGCATTGACTGAACACAGAGGACAAGAGAGAAAAGCAACTTGGTTTCAGCAAATGAGAAATAATGGCAAGACATCAGCCTGCAAATGGGAGACAAATATAATTACCACCAACGAGAAGCACAGACTGAGAACATATATGTAAGTGGACAAATGACTGAATGAACAAAATATAATCACTGTTATTTAGACACCAAGACTATCTTGTTCGGGACCTTGAATTCAAGTAAAGCAATAACGCAGTGATAGCTCATGGTTTTAGCAGCTACAAGAAGTTCTCATCTCTTTTGGAGGGAATAATTCATTGCAAAGAAGAAATTCCATTCGAAAGGTTTTACCTTTAAGCATGGTTAACCATTTATTTAGGCACACAATTAAATATTATCACAACTGTGCTAAGGAAAAAAAAATCTAGAACTAAAGAAAACAGACAGAAATCTTTTATTTTATGCATGGAAATAGAGAAGAAGAATACAAACCACAATATCACTATGGTTGTGTCGGGACAGTCATAATATGGGTGAATTTCTATGCTCCCTCTTTCTCTACCTTTCTTACTTTTATTAATGTCCAACTACCAAAGTGAAAATTTTTCAAACATTTTATTTCTAAATTTTACTTATTTTGGAAATTGTAATATATGCCCCCAAATGCAGGCTACACAGTTAAGAAGGTCCCACCAGCCCTGCTCTTCCAAGGGCTTCCATTCACCAGCAATTTCCTGTCCACCACAACAGAGCCAGTCCACGAGTATGCAGATACACGTGTTCCTTTGTGAACCACAAATAATAATGTCTGCACACACTATACTCACCTGCCTCTTTTTCACTGAATATTATCTGTGCAGTCTTTCTATTCAGAGCACAGGTTCCTTATTCTTTTTGTTATTTTGCTTATCACATGAGAGAGTGAATGATTTTCTTAGCAGTACTTCTACCTCAGTTGTCAATAACTCCATTTCTCTCATTAAAAACCAAATAAAAACAACCTCAGTGACCCAAATCTGCTAGTTAGGAAGTATACCTTTTCTTCTTGGATCTTTTCCTCAATCCTTTTTGAGGCTATTTCATGGGCCCTGAAGAGGGCAATGGTGCTGGTTTCATCTGGGTCCAAGATGTTCCCATTGTCATCTCGCACGACCAAATCTAATCCAAGCATTCTAGAAGGAAAGGAGTGATCAGCCAGCCTCACAGGAACAGGAAGAGTACCACGAAATAACCCTAAACAATCATAGTTAGGATGGTGGGTGCTGACAAATCAAGAATAATTCACTTGCCCTTTCTTCTTTCAAGTTCTACCCTTTCCTACACAACAGCTCTAGAAAACTAATGAAAGTGTTAAGCAAAGGCAAATTTGGCACTGATTCTGACAAACTTCCTCTTTTTCCAAGTCTTCTGTTTTTTTTGCCATAGGAACTATGAAAGACCAGTGCACAAATATTTGGGTGCTTGTCCTGATTTCTTTAAAAGCACAGGTGTGGGAGACAGCCCTTGACCGAATACTGTCTTAAAGGAGACCAGTGAGTTGAGTTCTGTTGGTGTTTCACAACCCATCTGAAAGCACAGCTTTACATCAGTAGGACCAGGATTTGAGATGGTTTTAACACTTGTTACACTGGGTAATGGACTTAATTCCTCATCATTTCATGTGGTAATATTCCCTAAGTTGCAAGAATGAAATGAGATATGTGTAAAGCATAGAAAGTACATGCAGCTACAGTGCACAACGCACTCGTTGTTACTTCAGCCACAGGCACAAGAAAACACCAGCTGTGTCCGGTGCATGGCTTACACATGGTGCCGTCCTCACCAAGACTTTGGTGTGCAGAGTGCACACGGAAGAAAAAGTTTTGCTTAGTTCCAAGGAAGTAGGACTGTGCTGGAAATAGCTATGGCTACGAGTGCGCAGCATGCATTCCAGGCACCAGCAATTTGGGAGTGGGGCTGTGCAAACGGCAAGAAAGCTCAGGGATGAGAGTGAAATGTGCCAAGTCTTTGGGAAGAAAACAAATGCCGACTTTCCCTCCTTCTTTTATAGCATCTTGATCATCTGATTTAATCTGGCAGGTTCCCTTTCACGGCAGCCAGACCCGCAGGCCACCCAGACTCCTGAGCGACGTGCCCCAATGGAGGCTCAGACACGGGTTCACTGACGCACTGACGGAACAGCTTAATTCCTTGAGCTGCTTCCAAGGGCTGGAATGTGAAAGCAGGCAGGCATGCTCTGCTATTTGTGGGACATTAACAGTCTGGGCCAGAGATTAGGGTCCTTCAAGGCGATGCCATTCTGTGGCCAGATCCAAAAATACAGAGGCAGCATATGTGTGGGGGGAGCTGCCTCATCCTGCATTAGCCAGCTTTTGAAGGAAGACCCATTGCTACCCTACCCAACTGGCAACACAACACTCGCAGGTAGAGGTCTGTGGTCGGACCAGTGACAGTCTTACCTTATGAGGGATCATCACACCGACTTGTCAAGTTCAAGGTTCAAATTGATTTGCATCTATATACCTTGAAAGTGAGCCACTTACACTCACTTGGTCTGTTTCTTGAACCTTAAAATGGGAATAATGGCTTCCTCAGAGGGATAGAATCCAGCCTTACATGTCAAATGCACACAGAAGATATTTCCTAAATAATATTGAATCTGAATCATCTGTGCTATTTATGCCAGCTATTTCTGAACAGTTTTCTGAGTCTATAACAGTAAAATGACAAAATAATGAGCTGTATTTTAACAATTTGAAGTATATCTAAGAGTTTTGTGAATGGAGAAGTAGGTAATAGGAAGAAAAAAGTTGCATGCAAGTTCAAGTAATACAGAAAATGAAACTAAATGTCAAATGAGTCATCAACAAAAACTAATGAGGAACTAGCCAGTCTTTTAAAAAGTCAGTCAGGAGCCAGGAGTCCCAAGTCACCATACAATTTGATGAACTGACTTATCCTTTTTTTTTTTTTTTAAATGAAAGGCAGTAATATCTGGAACCTACGAATCTGTCTAAGGTAATAAGAAGACTAGTAAAGTGATGAGCCCTTGAAAGGTTAGTGGAAACATTCACCAAGGTAGAAGCATTTCATGATTCTGGCAAATCTGTTTTTTACAGGCTGTCAACAATGGTCCCGTTAGGAGAAAATGGAGAGAGAGAATGAATCTGATAGAGCAAACTAAAGACAGCCCCAGGACTCGGAAATGGCACCAGCTGCTCGGTGCCTTCTGGTCTTAGCGATGAACTCGCAGCTCAGGTCCCTGTTCGTCTGTCATCTCCTTGGAATCAGAGACCCAGTGCAGGCTGGCCCGTGGTGGGCACCGCCAACTTTTTTTTCCAACCATATAAAATATGTTCCAAAAAGAGAGCTGTAAACATGATGTCTGGCAACTCCAAAGCCACAAGTGAGCCTGCCCCCGAATAAAGGCACACATGTCTTTCCGAGTTCTCATCCCTGGTTTACCTGTTCCCATGATCGATCTTGGCTGTGACCTTCTTCTTGAGCTCTGCCAGCTCGTCCTTGGGGAGTGTTCCAGACAGGATCTGAGAGCGCCACTCGATCAGGCTGTACGTCATCTGCTGTAGCTGGCGGAAGAGTGTGACCTTGTTGTTCTAAGGTGGGAAAATGAGGTGGAAGAAAAAAAAAGTCTGATGGAGGATGGCAACATCTGTAGAATCTGGATTCTGTGTAAGGTATTATTCATCCAATTAATCTTGTCATATAGTAAGCTGTGCATTTCAAGGGAATTTTTAAAAAATATTAATAAAGATGGCTTCCCCATGAGCCATTCCTACTCCTTCCTCAGTGTCAGAAGTGGATAAGCAGGGATGGGTAATTGGACTCCATAAGTAGGTCAAGCCATTCATGCACCCTAAAATTCTACCCCTGTCTCTCCTCTGTTGAAAATCCTCCAGTAATTTCCACTAACCTCTCGCTACAGGAACTCACCATTGAAGTCTCTTCCTATTCTGACTCTTATACACATTCTTACCTGTAGAGATTCACTACACCAAAAATCTTACACTTCTTCCATGCCAACCTATGTGGATTTCTCCTGAGCACTTCAAATGCTCTGATGGGTTATTCCTTCTATAGGGAACCACTTTCTCCTCTTCCTCCAAATTCTCATTTCTCCTCACATGTCTCACACAAGCAGCTACTAATTCTGACTTCTTCAGTTTCAATTTAGAAGTCTCTTCCTCAAAACCATAACTCTGAATTAATTGGCTGTCCATCCCCAATCCTCACAGATTGAAAATGATTCCTGTCCTAGAACCTGGACATCTCAGCCTGTTTTACTCCATGATGAGAGTAAAGAGTTAGAGGACAATGAGGAACAATGAGTTTGTTTGTTTTCGTATCTCTAGAAGTTGGTATTAAGTAAATATTCTATAAAGTGTATGACAGGAATGAAATGTACTGCTATCATTTGCAGAGAAAAGAACTGCTGTTTCAGAGGTAAGGAAGAAGGGAAAATAAACATTTAAATTTTATTTTGAAATCTGTTTCCCCAAAAATGTGATAGACCATCCAGAAAATTGTTACTCCTAGAAAGATGAAATTATTATTTTGGGTTCCAGTAAGAATGTCCTATAACTGAACCACATTAACCAATGACCAACTAATTATTTGTACCTTCGTCATTTTAAGAGGCTAATACTGTGTCTGTGTCCTACAGTCTTGGTTTTATCTAAACAATTGATTCAGTCCAGTATGTATTTCAAAAGTCAATGAGCATCTACTATGTACTTGAAATAATGATCCTGCCGCATTGTAGAGGAGACAAAAGAGTAACAAGAAAGTAAACACTTATACTATAAGATAATTTCAAGTTAAGAAAGAGTACAAAAAAAAGAGGGGAAATAAACGTGGCAGTTTGATAGGTGTGTAGAGGCGAAGGGGCACTGAAGGTAGTGATTAGGAGAAATTACTTTGGCAATCACTTCTGAAGTATATTTTTTGAAATAAATCCATTATCATCCTACCTACTTATGGCCTTAAGATACTACTTGCTTTTTACTGATAGGAGAGATGTCACGGTATACTTATATAATCTTATGTTTCTGCAGCTATAGGAGACTATTATCTACTATACACACACACACAAACACAAACTTGTTGATGTCTAAGCAGCTTGTTCCTCTTCATTGATGCTCCCCATCCCAAGGACAGAGTCCTGGACAAGGCATCAAATAGATCCTGGGCAGAAATTCCCAAGATACTCCTGAACAAAGAGTAAGTGTTAAGGAACTGTTAGCCCAGAAGCAGGGGCAGTGGGAGGTGTCAATGAGTGTAGCAGAATGTGATAGCACCTTAATGGAAGCTGGAAGTTCTCTGAGTGTACAGAGCAAAGGAAAGAACCCAATTATCTGTGATTGCAATATGTTCCATTAACACTTTATCCCAAAACAATGAATGTGTAGCCTGCTTAAAAATTTCAAACTATCTATATTTAATGCGGTCAGTATTTTCTAAATTGCCTCTTTCTCATCAGCCAATCTTTAGAAAAGCAGAAAATCAGATCTTTAAATGATTTCTAATAAGGAATGATAAAAAACCCTGTGTTTTTTATTCATTTAATTTTAAATAAAATATTTCCAATTCACTGTCTTTCAAAGTGGAAAAAGGGCTGAGAAATTAGCCCATAAAATTTTATCTTCCAAAGTAGCTAGACAGAAAAGAGGCTCTTTCCTTTTCTTGTAACTTACCACTCCTGGTTAGATTTTTTATATATATTTTCCAAGTTTAATGAAGGTATTCTCATAATACGGTTTTAAAAAGTCGGGGGGGGGGGTTAAGGGCTCAAGATTCTCTATGAGAGGCAGTGCTTTGTTTGGGGGACATGTTCACAAGTTCTCAGGCTCAATTTTATTAGACACCATCTAAGGCAATTTAATTATTGCCTGTCCATATCAGCCTTGTGTGCCAATTTCTCCCACCAAAGAAGGATGAAGACAGTCATTCTTCTCTGATTCAGTGTGCCAAATTAATTCTGAAGAGACAAGCTGGAACACACCAGAGGAAGCAATTTCCCCACTTACTTTAAAGAAATGGATTTTGCTGCCACATTCCTAAGATCGTATAAGCAGAATTTCAGCATCGCTGGCCTCTGACACTAAGGAATCCTGGGGAAGCTCTGGCTTCATGCACTGCCCCTAACACCATGAGCCTCATAGTCGCCATCTTTTCTCCTCTCACAGGCCTCTGCCAGGCTCTTCCCTAGCCCAACCACCCAGGCCTGTCTTGGCATACTCCTCCCTGCTAATCGAGACATCAGGAGCCTCCGTTTTTCCTGCAGCTAGCCATTGCTGATAATAGGGCAAGGAATTTATTGAATAATTTCTTTGATCTGCCCCACAAACGTCAGGATGGTACCAGGACACTGGAATGATTCAAAACTAATGTCGACAGTTCAGACTTCAACCAACACTCTGATTTCCACTTGAGGAACAGCTACACAAGGCAAAGAAACAGAAATCCTTTTTCTACCAGAGAATAAGTATGTTCCTGCATTTGCTTTAAATGTCTTCCTTTTAGAGATTGCTGAAGTCTCACTTTTAACATTTCTGCTCCATATCTATGTATTTATTTATTTATACCTGGAAATTTAAACAAAGTCACAAGAAGGAGCTTTTGCCTTTAACACTCTGGAATATTTCTGTATTCTAGCCATTTGGCATTTCAAAATCCTGGGGCTTATTTAGACGACCTCACTGGATATCAGAAAACCTGGGTTCTATTCTGCATGTTCCCCCAAAATGCAGACCACAGTTAACAAACTTTTCTTTTGTCTCTACCAGTTCCTCTGAAAAATAACTAACATTTGCTCTGTACACTAACCTTTTCTCCACAGTGCAAATTTCGTGATTTAGAAGCAAGAGCCCTGGAATGAAATGTGGGGATTTGATCTCTTTCTCTAATTGTATCATTAAGTTGCTACTTGGCTTTGGACAAATTATTCCCTCCAGGATATGACCATCTGTAAAATAACTGTCCACTTGCAAAGATGAGTGTCGTCTTCGAGTCTGTGACTGAGACATTAAGCTCAATTACTCCTCCAAGCAGCTTCCTGATTAACTATATCTGACTTGAATCACCCGCACACTGAGGTACCCACACACTCAGGCGACTGGAATGAATCACATGTCTTTTCTGACCGTCTGTAACTCCTGGGTCCACACAGATGCCTTGCTGCGTGTCCTCAAGCTGCACTGACCCCCCAGCTCCAGGAAGGAGGGAAGCCTCTGTCCTGCCATGCATACAGCCTGTCCTGGTGCCTTTCCTCTGTCAGGAAAAGGTCTTGCCTGACTAACAAAGACTTTACAGCATTTTTGCCCTTGGAAGTAGTGTAAGAAAGCCCGAAAGCCAGGCAGCAAAGTCAGAGAAACTGAAACACACACACAGCACCCCCCGCCCCTCCTCCCGCCCCACTCACTGCCAAGTCTCCTCATTACGCTTCTCATGAGAGCCAAGCTGCAAAGGGCTTGCAGCTCACAGATAAAATGTCCAAAAACAAAAGGAAGTTTTCTATGGGAATTTTCTGTCCTTGGTAAAAAGCAATCAGTCGATGGTTTCAAACTAGGAGATCAGCTTAATTACACTTCAGAGCATGTGATCCTGCCGCCGGTAATAGCCCCCAGTTCAAAAAGATTAGACCTGAGTGGCTTTAATCTGCCTGGATATGCAGGGCCTGGAAAAAGGGGTGATTGATGTGCTGGGCAAGTTCCCTGCCCCCACCTGAGCTCCAGGCACTGTTTCTGCTGGAGAGCTTCATGCTACTATGGACAACCAGTGCACAGTTCTAGCTTGCCGGCAAATTGTAATTGAGAGGATGTCTGTTCTTTCTATGAACTATATTTTAGCAATGAAATTCACTCGATTAAACAATGTATATTAACCATCTGCTATCACCATGTTCTTGGATCTGTTGGCCTTAAGGAGATAGGATTACAATATTTCCCAAATGTATATGGACAAATTAGCTTTGTTCAAAACTCACCAATAGTTACAGCACCCAGCTAAAGCTCAGGTTGTAATGGTACAGAGTATCCTTGTACCAACCAAACATCTCAGCATTTTCTAGGATAGTCTCTCTTTCAAAAATTCTTTTTTTCTTTTAAGATTTATTTTATTTATGCATACTGAACTGAGGTACAGGCCAGAGGTGCAGGGGTAGTAAGAGGATTCACCAGAGACAGACTAGGGGGCAGAACAGCCAGATCAACTAAGTAGACTGCTGGGGGGAGCAGCAGCAGTCAGCAGAGGTCTGCTGTGCCACGTGGGTCACCTCCGGGGCAGGGGTCAGACTCATGCTGAAGTGGCTGTAGCTTCTTAGTGCTGTGCTTTAACCAGCTGCACCACCAGGGAGGGCCCTTTTTCAAAAATTCTTATCCCACTGCCTTAAAAGATACACGCAAACTTGTCAATTTTTTTTTAAAGATTTATTTATTTATCCAGAACTGGGGTACAGGCCAGAGATGCGGAGGGTTAGAGGATTCACCAGGAACAGAGTGGGGAGCAGAACAGGCAGATCGACAAAGTACACTGCTGAGGGGAGCAGCGGGCGGGTCAGGAGAGGTCTGCCACGCCATGTGGATCTCCTCCCGGGTAG